CCAACCCATGGAAGATATATTACCTTCCATGGACAACCTGGCAACTTTTCAAAGGTTCTAATTTTCACTCTGTACATGAACGATTTCAAGCCAGCTGCTTGGCGCACTGAGACACAGTTTAAATACACATTTTTATAGATTATCACCACCGAATACTTTATATGTATCTACTACAATTAGATAATCATTTATCGGGCATCACATAATCAGGATAGACGGGACTATTTATTGTTGTTTCCTATAAATGATTTTTTGAAAGTGTGATGAACAATCTTGGAACTTAAAATAGTTATTGAATAACGAATTTCCGTTTTATATATTTTGATCGATTTTGAATTAAATATAGCGATAATATGCAGAAACCACAAAGTCATTTTCTCGCGGAACAAAGATTAGGCATCCATCATTTGATTTGTTCTGTGTAATTCATTTAATAGAACCTTTCACTCTGCAAAATATCTAAGTGTTAGTGCTCTTAAATTGTTCGCATTTTTACTAGTTGTTAGCCGTGTCCAACCCTTGACAGATCACAAACTTGAAACACAACTAGTACCCTAGTACCTTCCCCTCCCTGGGTGAACTTTAAACGTACTCGTGAGTGCAGAGCGTACTCTGATATTACAAATTCGTACGTTACTGTAATTGTGGTGTGAGGTTTACTAAGATGGCGACGCTGAATGACATTTATAAACTGTACAAACAAGAGACATAAAATCAAGCGACAGCAGAGAGAAACGACATTACCTACTCGTCCCAAATACCAGTGATATACGCATAAATAAACTGGCCAGGAAAATAACAATCCCACAAACTAAGAACAACGTATATGAGCTGAAAACCCACGACTAATGTGTGCGTGTGTGAAGGCATGTTAGCTAGTACCTGACGTGTCCAAACGTGCGTCGAAATGTGTCAGTCCGCGTTGTCGCCCGGTGAATTTTAGGTAGCCACGAGTTGAAGTGTTGAACTCCACAGCAGAACAAAACTTTCGTCCTAGTACGATTCCACAACCTTTGATGTTAAACGGCTATAGTAGTTTGTTGGCCTGCTCGCAAAATAACAGTGTCATGCAAGCGTAGACTCTCTTTTTGGTAGACAGAATCTAAAGCAGCAATGGCCCGGAACCACACTGTCTAAGTATTGAATGCCATGTCGTCAAACAGTCTATTGTGTCAACCATCAATTGGCCCATTCGTCACACAGATTCTCTTTTTGTTCAAGGCGACATCACATATCACGACCTATTGTTGTTCTAGTGGGATTAAATGCTTACCTTCTGGCCTTAAAACCTACTTCTAATAGTGGGCTGATATCAGTTTATACAATGATACCAAATGTATGAATACATAATTATATTTCATTAATACAACGCATAAGACACAGTCCGAAAACGGGGACTTCTGTAGGTATGTGCTCCCGTTTGCCCTATATCTTAGACATGCCTCGACTGATTGCATTCAAACATCATACATAATGTTATACATATGCACATCAATTTTTGTCACAATCGGATTCATGATGGCTGAAATGACGGCCATTTTTGAGCTGAAAAATCATAAAAATTTCATGATGGATTTTGTCCAAACTGGGTGCATACGTTGGACATTATGGGACCATGATGCACGTCATTTTGTTTTTCAGATCGGATTTAAAATGCGCAACATACCACGACCTACGCATACTACATTATTACTATTATTAATATACAATTGCGTCTATTTTCAACAGTACAATCCAGACGTATCGTGACACACTTGTGGCTGTGAATATAATGTATTGTTCATGAG